CAGCCACTCCACCGAGAAGGGGCCCTTCTCCATCTCTCGCGTTGCTGCCGGCGCTCCCCGCTCACTGAAGCCGCCCCGGCTCTGGGGGCAAACATTTAAAGCGCCTTCCGCGACGTGGTTTGAAAAGGCCGCAAAGCATCAAATGAGGCCGAGAACAAAGGACCCCATTGAGAGGCGCTTTAATCTCCCCTTTCAGGTGATTGTTACATCCGCCTAATCTCTGAACGCGGTAGTTAGCAGAACTCAAGGCTACCTGACCTGGCGCCAAGTTCAGCTCTGAGTCGTCTCCTGACCACGTAGCTGCTCGTAATTGCATCACGGCCAGTGCTTTTTATGCTGCCCACTCTGGCCTCGGCTCTTGAACCACGCCGTGATTTTCAATCTTTATCTCCTGGTATGAAGGATTCAGAAGGGACTGGTAACAAAGGTGGACGTAGAGAGGCCTCTTTTATGACACTTAAACCCAAATTTGGAGCCCCTCTTGCCTGTTTGATGCAAGGTTTGGAAGAATCCTGTTGCCTTTCTACCAGCGAAGGAGAGTGACTCGAGGTACGAGCAAGTAAGTAGTCCTCGAGCTTGCAAACAGGTAAAAATTATGGAGAAACACTGACACTAACATCTTCCCAGTATGCCTATGAGTAACACGCTGCTCTTTATCAAGTCAGTGTGGGTAGATGTTGTTTGAACTAGAAGTTAGTTGGAAATGCAGGGTTAAATATTTTTCGCTGCTGTCCATGAGGCAGAGTGCTGCAGCTAGGACTCTCATCTTCCTCTGAAGTGTGAGGTTGACTTCAGGGTCTTCAGGGAGAAAAGGTTTGAAACTAGATCACAGTGGCGTTAGCAGGGCATTTTGTTAGATCATTTGTAGAATGTAGGGTAGGAAGTTTTGAATTATTTAATAGGTAGTAGAATGAGTTAATTCTTATGACTTTATTTAAGAATAAGATTAAGCAATGAGCAGTTATATTGCAGAATATTGGACAGGATAGGAAACACTGAGATGACTAGTTGGCTCGAACTTATCTGTTCATGTCTTAAAACATGATCTCCATTCCCTGCACCACAACAAAGAAATGTGTGCATTTCAAAGTAAACAGTTCTGATGTTCTTATAAAGTAGATCAAAGAGGAGGAGTGTAAACTCTGTTCAGAGGCAGTCTGTTCAAGGATGATTCAGATAAGGGTGAGAAAAGAACCACTTTTACGGTCTGAAGTGGGCCTGGGATGGCACAGTCCTTATCCTCTGCAAACAGAGGCTAACACATTTACAGGTTGTTTCAGTAAACAGTCACTACTGCTTGAGTTTATACAGTCAGAGATAATGAACTAGCTTTCACGCAGAGCTGAACATGTTTGAGACAACATGTTAATTCTTAGACTTCAAAGAACTTCATGTCACCGTTTATGAACGGTGATGTATTTGTAGTGAGATGGCAGAAGTCAGATGATGCCACCCTTCTAGCTCTTTTTCCTCTAAGGTTTCCTGTGTTTTTATCAGCATGAAACTTCTAGGAGGTGACTACATAAGCTTCGAAGTAAAGAAATGACTTTGCATAGCTGACACTTACGTTTTACTGAAAACCTTATCTGAATAGACTAACAGGGATGGCAGTTGCATTGTCTTCATGTGCTTCTAATTCCACCCACAGCAATCTACAGGTTTTGCAAACAATTAGGATGCAAGTTAGAAGTTACAACTGTTCTTTTTAATGAAAAAAACCCCCACCAACCCCCCCCCCCCCAAACCAAACCAAAAACCACAGAGAAATCTGTAGATTCTTTTTCTGCATTTACCAGATGAAATCAGTCTCAAAAGAACCCAAAGCCAAACAAAAACCCAGGAAGGAGACTGTTGCTAAGTAGTCTGCTTTGACACCAATTAAGGGGTATAGTCTTGAACCTTTAATGTAACGTTTTATTTTAAGAAAAATTACTGGGAAGTAATTCAGTGTCCAGGACGATTTGTCTGAAATGGATAATTACGTGTATTTTGAGTTAGCTTGGTTCCTAGTCCTGCAAACCTGCAAATTAGCCCCGTAAAGAATAAAGTTTCGTCTGGAAAAATGATAAAGTCATAGACAATTTCTGAAGTGAATCGTTGTAATATATTTAGTGTCACAGGTAACACGTAATCAGAAGGATCAGTAAGACATCATTCCTTTATTATATTATTGTTTCTAGTTGTTATTATTGTGCTTATGTTAATAGACGAACAAATGTTTTTAAGCAACAAAAGGATTGCCACTATGATGTCAGTTTTTAAATTTGTATTTTTTTTTTAATAAAATCCTTCAATCATTGATCATGTTATTATCTGACTAGATTGGAATAATCGATTTTATAGTTTTTGGGAGAAATGCCTTAATTTCAAAAGACACAGGAAGCTAATATAATATTTTTGTAATAGAGCAGTCTTTTGGACTCATGCTATAGTTAGGCTGGTGAGGCTTCCTTCCTACTTCTTTCATGGGACTAAATCACCTTTCTAGAATTTCTCTTTACATCCTCTGAAGTAGTTTGGTTTTGAAATTGTACTTAGCAGGCTAGGAGTAGGGACTTCCATATCATCCATCTCTTTTTGAAAATCAAATATCTTTTTAAAGGGTGGTGGTGGAGAATCTCCTTTGCTTTATCTGCTGGTGATAAAAACTTTCATAGATTTGTGTCAGAATTGCTCTGAGGATTTTTGCTGCTGGGGATATTTTTGCAGTTAATGCAATCCTTTTAGAAACAATGCTAATAGTTTTAATTTATAATTGTGAACAACACAGACATACCTCTAAGGACTTTTGCTGCTTCTCGGGTAAAATAAAATGTATTTGCAACAACATTTTCATGTTGGTATAACTGTTAGAAGAAAACCATTTGCAGACATAAAATGAAAGTGGCTCTGGTGGCTGCCCATGTTTTAAATACTGGCCTATTTATTGTAAACAGAAGTAGGTAACATAATGACTAAACTTTCCTGTGTTGGCATGGGACTGCGCTATAAAAGATGTATAGTGTTCTCCTATGTTATAAACTCAATGTGTGTTGTGTTTTGTTTTTAAAGGCTTTTAGTATTATTTAATGTGATTGTTTTTCTGCAAGGTCCTTGTGGTTTTTTTGTTTTGTTTTGTTGTTGTTTTTTTTTTGGGGGGGGTGTGTCCTAATTCATAACAAGCTTTATTTTTGCCAGACCGTTCGACCCTGCAATATTAGAATGAAAATTAACCTGGGAGCTCAACAAAACTAGAAGAGTGAGTGCCAGTGGCTATGAAGGTGATAAACACAAGAAAACGTATGCTTGAAGTGAATTATATTTTTTAAATGCTAATATTCATGCGTTGAGTGTTATTATGATGATTTACCTAAGATACAGAGTATGGCTTGAGGCAAAGCCTCCATTCAAAGGACTTTGATGGAGTGATTGTAATGCCATAAGCGACCACCACATGAGAGCAGTTACAATTTAAAGGGTAATTGCCCTGTGTTTCTAGTTAGCAATTAACAATCGGCAGGTCCTGTGATTTATCCTATCTTCCATTGATTATTAGCACTTTCTATGAACACAAAGACTACAAAAAACATAATGACCAAAACTTTGAATGTAAATAGTAAGCTAGAGAAGTGTAGTGAAGGTGTAACTGACTCACATTTTACTGCTGCGATTTAATGATAACCTTCCTTGACTGAGATAACAATGAAAATGTTTGGTATCACTTATGGCTATGTTTTCTTTTGTCTATTTAAGTCTCTTGTTGACATAACTTTACCGAGTGTCTCATACTAATTAATATGTTTTTAGTTATTGCATCAGTTGTGAAGATAATTTCCTAAAAAGCAACAGTTATTCTTGTGGTGTTGGTTTCGTTATGGAAAATATTAATGCATAGAAATTGTACTAGGATTTGTCAGTATGCTAGCAGTGAAAGTATCTAAGCAATTAAAAACACTACAGACAGGGTAATTCAATCATTTGAACAAATATGAAGGGCATTAATCAAATAAAAATGTTATGTACCACATTCATTTCTACCTGACACAAAGGATACACCTAGCTAAACGAATGTGTTGAGTAGAACTAACAGCTCTGTACTGTTGAGTTTTTTTACTCCTCTTCCCTTCCTCTTTCTGGGCATGCTTTTCCCCACATGCTCTGAGCTTAGGTAACCCTAAATCTATCAGGGAGTCCATTTAGGTTTCCAAGCTAGCAGGACACAAACAAGAAAAAAAGCAAATGGCTTTTTAACAGCTAGGAGAGCTAAACCCAGTCACTGAAAAGTTGGATGACCTCTGTAACTTGCACAGAGGAACGCTTGGAGCATGGAAGGGAAGAGGAAGAAGCAAGATGATTCCTTTTGGTAGTGAGTAGTTTTGTTGCTTTGTATAAATAAGTGTCAGTGTCTTTACAGTCAATGGGTCAGTATAATTACTCACTTTCTCCAGACAGAGAGACTAAGGTAAGAACTGGAGTGATGTGCAGGCACATACGTAACTCACTAGTAAATAAATAATGGGTTTTGAATATGACTTTTACTTTCATGGCTTCCTTTTTGCCAGCTTTTCTAGATGTTCTGATTAGATTAGTTTGACCCTGTAGTATGTCCTTTGCTCCTTGTTCCAGTACTTTATCTAATTGAATGCTTGCTTGCAGTGGTGCGAGGCCTCTTACGACGGTTCCAAATTACATCACCTAGTGGCACTTCGCAGTACTCAAAGCAGAATCTGTTAATGGGCTAGAAGCATGTACTTCCATTTGTTAAGTACTACACATCTGTGATTCAGCAATAGTTGAGTAACAGCTTAATTTTAATAGTGCATTGTGCTCCAATAAAGGCGTAGTTTATTGTTGCTTTCAGGCTCCCTCTGACAGTGGGTAATGCTTTTCTTCCTTAAAGGATATCATATGGTATGGCAAAAATACTTTTAATGCAAAACAATACTTTTTTAGAATTAAAATTCAAATAGTGTTCAATCTTCATTTAACCCCCTTGACACATTATAAGACAAAAAAATAAGAAAAATGCAAGGATATTTTTTAAAAAAAACTTGACCCATCTCACAGGCAATCTGTCACTGACAGAAGAAATAAGCTGTTTGATATGTCATTAACCTTTCTTCATTGTAAGATTTTTCTTTCCTCTTTCTGCTTTCCCTTCTTCAGTTTATCTACAGCTTCCCATATCTTACAGCTGATAAGGCTTTGATCCTGCAGAATGGAGGAGGAGTCCTATGGGGGAAAAAAGTAATAATTTATAAGACTGAGAGGTTTTAATTCAGACCGCATTGTAATGCATGTTTTATGAAGTAAAATTAAGATTGTATGAGTAATTCC